TGCTTCTGACACTGTCTGTCTTCAAGGATCGCTATTGTAGAAAGGTGCAGACTCCACGCCACGGCAGCCATATTTCGGTCTCCGGTGAGACCAACTCACAAATCTCTTCCAGCCAACACCTCCATCAACATGTAAGGTCGAGACGCATTCACTAAACCCAGCTTGGCCTCCCATACAACTGGAGCCGTGTGCAGATGAACTTCAAACTCCGACCTCGAAGTGCAGGTAGAAGGGTCAAGATGGTATTGCCTCGGATTTGGTCGCAGTCTCCTTTCGCTGTATACTTCGTTTTCGCAACTTCCTCACATCGCCAAGGCGATTTCGATAACCGACTTTTATCCGGAGTTCGCTACCTTGGGAGACATGATAACTATCAGAGTCGGGCCGTGAACTTGGAACATTTTCAGAGGCTTCTTCGCCACATGAGGATGCATCAATCCTACAGACCAACTCTGGGAATGGCCATGCCAGAGACAGTCATCGAAGTCGCTTTGACGACTCGACCAATTTGGGAAAACTACGTCTAACCATTTCGGTTCAAGAGAGTGATAGTCAAGGCATGGACTTCACTTGTTCCATTGACGATTTGTGGCTCGGGGCTGAAAATGACGAGGCCTTGTGAAAATGCAGACCAGGAGACGGACAGACGTCTGGGAATTTACCCTATCGCCAGTTGAAAGGTGGCAGAGGGTGCAGGTCAGAGTGTTCACATCCTTCGAGGTCGTTTTGACATCACGACCCTGTTGCCGGAGTCCAGATAGGCTCTACTTGGTGCCGAATGGCCGAGCCGCGCTGGCGACGCTGGCAGCACCGGAAGTGACCTTTCGGCAGATGGGCCGGACATGCGCTAGCGGGTCCAGTGACCCCTTCACCACTCATCAACTGTCAAGCCGAACTCGGTTGGTGCGACTGGCCAGTGGGTGGAGGACAAAAGTGACGACGCCTTTGTGCCAGAAGACGAGTCGAGTACCGGAGATCTGCTCTGATGGACTGTACGTGCCGATGCACCTCTGGAACACTTTCTAGTTGACTGGTTCTACTTGGGTCAGGACACAATGTTTATCACGACAAGGAAGCAAAAGCTTCATCCAGACGCCTCAACGTACACACACACACACACACACACACAGACAAAAGAGGACATGCATACATGCACTAAAACGTGCTATTAAGGCCCATCTGGCAAAATATAAATGTCAGGACCTAACGACTCATAAACATACTCGAAAAACATGAAGAAAAAGTAGGTTATGAAGATTCCCTTAATGGTTGTGTGCTTTGATAATGTTCATTTTGTTTAAAAAAGACAGGTTATAAGCTTCGTGAGTCGGCCTCACCGGAAACCGGCGGAGGATCAAGAGTTTTTCACAGTAAAAGTTAGTTTATCCTGCAGTGGTAGACGACGTCTGAGACGAAACTCGGCATTTATGAAAAGTTGCCAATACAGCAATTCACAATTCCTAGATATCCTGCGGTGCGGTGCGGTTGGACGAATGCATTCCAACAGCTTTTCAAGCGATGGCAAATTCGCAAGAGATAAAACCCCAAAAAAGTCAACAAGCTGGTTTTTTGGGCAGTTATTAGATCAGAAGAGAGAGTGCTTGGGACGCCAAACTACACACATACCAATTCTCGTTAAACGACCCTTTTTAGGCGGACTAGACCGCATTTTTTACACTTTCCGGGTTTCAACATCGCCCCAAACAGGACTCGAAAGTTAAATCTGCCGGATCAGCTGCGATTGCCTCCTCCCCTGGACCAGATGATCCTAGCTCTGTTAAGTGTGTCTGTCAGATCACTTTCGTGGTGGGATATTTGCACCGATAGGCAAGTTTACGTTTATTTCATTATACACGACATACTACTAAAATGTGCTCCATACTGTCCATCCCGTACAGTTGGGAACAGTCCTTAAGGCTGCATGACGCAAGAAGAAAATCTTTGCTCCACTTCGCCAGATCCCAGCTGTCCTTATGTATTAATAAAAGAAGTCTTGTGGTTAGCATGTTTGAAGCAAAACTGTAGTGGTAGTAATATTATTTGCACAACAAAAAGTCATATACTGGTTCAGAATGAGAGCCATTTGTTTAAATAGACTAATCATATGAAAACAAATATATATATATAAATTCCTTCAGAGCTTAAATGTCTGACTACGTCGTAAAATCACCCAGAGCCTTCATCTAAATGGGCCACTTAACCACGATTCTGCTATCCTAAAGAGAGGCTAAACTCCCTGGACCAACTTTAGTTTGGAGTTTGGGTTGCAAAGATGAAAAAAAAGTTGTTCTGATTTCCTTGGAGCCTTCAGGCCATTGCGGCATAATTTCTCGAACCAACTCCTTGGTGAAGTGGGACATTGCAAGGCAGCCGATCGGTGAAGATCTATCGCCAATCGGAGTCAGTATGCACATTCAAGCAGTTCATTTAAAATAATTAAAAAAATGTGTATAAAATAAGGGACTTACTGGAGGTTTATCAGTCACGCTCAGCATCTAAATGCACGAATGCGATAGAAAAGAATTAAGTATTGTTTTCGTGACTTCCAGTAAATCAGTAATATGAGAAAAATAAAGTACAGTAGTCGGTTTTTATAACAAATATACGTTTGCTTCATCGACAATCCCACCAATGAATATGATATGGTAAGAAAAAGGCCTCGCCTTCCTTGAAAATTTACATTCTCCCTGTCACCCAAAGACACTCGTGGCAATCTGGCCAAGTGTTTAACGTGTTAAGCTCACATTATTCAGTGTCAAGGTTCGAATTCCGCTGGGGGTGTTGATAAGACTGACGCGAGGTCGAAACTGCAGTCCACTGGTGCCTGGATGAGAACAACTTTTAAGAGAGCAAGGCTGTGTTAAATTAAATGGAAACGTCAACTCAGCTGATATCATTATGGGAAAATTCTTCTTTTACCAGTCCTTCATCAGCCTAAACGAAATTGGGTAAATACATCTCATGATACAAAAGAAGTTGTAAATGGAGTTAATCAATTTATATTCCAGCTCAGATTGCTTTTGGTCAGTAAAAGTTCGCTTACTGGAAACTCAAATGTGAAAACAGTCCTTCATAGTGGGCTAATGTCAGTTATGTATTGAATCAGTGTTGAGGGGCGGTTGAGAAGATGGACTCATACTATAATAGTATTAATCAGTATCATCTTCTCCAAGTAGTTTCTTGTGTCTCCAAAAAGTGTGTTGTTATTTTTGTATTACCTCCCTTAGATTATTTATTGACCTATTTATTTAGAGGTTATGAAAGACCAATATACTATATACCAATGCCACTAATTTATCAAAATATACATTATATTTATATGTAGTAATATATTAAAATATATAGTATTGGCAATGGTAAATAGGGTAATGGCTTTTCTCATGCTACACTTTCTCGCTCTGATGAGCTGTGTCATCGCAGTTGACAAAAGTTCAGCACGGATTAATCGGAATAGCAGGACGGTGAG